CAACAACAACAAAAAAAAAAAACGTTAACGCGGAACACATTTTTTAAGTCTTGAATAAACTGGTGACATATATATATATATATATCAAAAGGGGTGACTACTTTGCACTTTTACATAATATGTTGATTTAGGCCTAACTTAAATGTTTTAAAGTCTCGTGAGATATTATTGGGATTAGAAGCAAACATCTTATTGGCTTGTCTGAAATCTTTATTCGTTCTTGCAGGATGAGTTCATAAGCATAGGGAAAGTCGCTGCTACCGAAGGAAACGTTACTGGCCGTATCACTATACTTCTGCGTGCTGCTGCTACTAAAGTCTCCTGGTCGGAGTAGGTTCTGGTGAAGCAGTTCGTCATTCTCCGTAACAGGTGTGGAGAATTCTTCGGCACTTGCGGGGTTCGACGTAGTGCTCGCCTGGGCCATGTACATGTAAAAGCTTGAACACGAGTCGTTCTTGTGCAGATAAGTTTCCGAGTCAATTCTCACCACGGGAAGCGAACAGGAGTGATCACTCTCTGTGATCAGACCATCTTTATACCAAGATGGTAATTGGTCACGAATATCTGGAAGCTTGGGCTTCAGAACTACCGAACTCTTTAAGCCTAAGGGAACACATCTTGCCATTTCTGTAGACTGTAAACTATTTATAAGGTAGTTATTAATGGTTGGCTTACGTTTATGTGGATCTCTTCTACTTTCGAAACACGTGGGAGTTGCAAGTCCTTTTATTTCCGGCCTGTTTCTTGTAATATGTGACAGTTTATGGGACTCGTCCTCTGTGTACGTTATAAATACATCATCAAAATCAAAGCTATCGCTTTTAGCTGAAACGCTCAAAGTGTCTGCATTCTTATATCTGTATAAACCTTCGGTACTGGTTGTTGTAAACATTGTTCTTTTTAACAATCGGGTATTTTTCAAGCAGCACAAGTCTCCTAACGAATGGCTACGCTGTAGAAATTTGTTACTACTGTTGGAGAGGAATGTTTTTTGTATTGAAGGCTTAACACTTAGAAATACAAAGCTCTTGTCCGAATGAGAAGACTGACGATACTTTGATACACTTTCCGAAGATCCAAACGTGTGATCTGTATCTGAGAAAGCCGTAGGCCTGTACACAACACTTGGAAAAAACTGGCTTTGATTAAGTAAGATAACGTTTTGATCCACTGACCATCTTCTTAGATCACGTGGTCTTCTTTCAAGTGATGTCGTTTCATTTTCTTTTCTCCAATCCAGCTTCACGTTCCTACCAGACGTACCACTTTTTGGAGAGACCGAACTCATATCAGCTGATTGGCTTCCAATTAGGTCCGAGTTTTGTTCGCACGAGTACGTCGTCCGCAAAGCTTCTGGCTTGTTAGTTGTCTCGTGCGAGTTGGAATATGTTTCTTTATTAAAACTTGAATGATTTTCGAAATCTGAAAAGGAACTTTTTGAAACATTTAACTTTTCGGTCAGATCTGCTGCCATGTTTTCCTCCTCATGACATTTACACATCGCAACAATTTCTTTGGTCAAACCGCGTTCGCCTGTCCTTGGCTGACCGACTTCTTCAGTAACACGGGAAGACAGACACTGACAGTCTGATTGAGTTTGGTCTGTTGTGCCCCCATACGGATAATTTGAAACTTTCCCCCCAGATGACCAAGTGTTGTCACCGTCTTCAGCATCAAGTCCGTAGTTATCACTCATTATGATTTGACCATTCGAGTTAAGACTACTACTTATGTCTGCAATGGAGTTACGTTGGTTAACTTTACCATAGGAAACACCAGCATTATCTGTAATATCGTCGTTTTGTGTGTTGGTGTCTTCGCCAGTCCTCTGTATTTCAGGTTTAGTGTTCGTCTCCTCCAAGTGGTAGACGGATACTACAGTATCGGTACTCAACTGACCACTAGAGCTACTGGTCTTACAAGGAGAACCGATATTGTTGGACAGAAACGATTGATCGTTGTCACATGTAGGAAACAAACTTTGACGTCGACTCAAAGAAACGACAGAGGTCGGTGTGGTTGACGTATAGCAGCCACTGTCCTTTCTGTACCTCTCTTGCTTTTCGTCGCTAAATCTCACTTCTGTTTTTTGTTCCACTCTCTGTTGTTCTGTCAACAGTTCCTGAAAAATAAATATGTTGTTATTAGCTATACTTCTAATATTTTAATTTAGAATTTTGTCATGACGTAATGATGACGCAACATCTAAAATTTTCGGAATCTGGAAGCTTTCAACACTTAAGTATAAAGCTACACGAGGGCTATCTTCGCTAGCCGTACCTAATTTAGAAATGAAAGACTAGTCATCACCACCCATCGCCAACTTTTGGGCTACTCTTTTACCATCGAATAGTGGATTGACCGTCATATTATAACGCTTCCACGGCTGAAAGGGCGAGCATGTTTGGTGTGACGGGGATTCGAACCCACGACCCTCAGATTACGAGTCAAGAGCCCGAACCACCTGGCCATGCCGGGCCCGAAGTAGAAATAACAGTACAATGTAAAAACCCAGACTGAGTTAGTTAGTTAATTTTTGAGCTTATGAAGTAAGTATTTAGTGTCAGTTACTAAGTTAAACAGTGAGGGTTATGTATGTTCATCTATGACTCAGTGAGTAAGTTAGCCAGCATGTCTTTTTTTTTTTTGTATTTGTAATCGATCGACAAGCAAGAGAGATTATGTAAGTAAGTTTATTTGTGAGTTAGGCGTACATTAGTTTTGGAACTTATGTTAAAACGGTATTTGTGAAGTTAGACCTACTAATGAACGTAGCCTGTATTTTTTGTATTTGTAATCGATCGACAAGCAAAAGATTATGTAAGTAAGTTTATTTGTGAGTTAGGCGTACATTAGTTTTGGAACTTATGTTAAAACGGTATTTGTGAAGTTAGACCTACTAATGAACGTAGCCTGTATCAAACCTTATTTAAGAAAATAATTAATTCGTTATTGTTAGACTGACTAGACTTTACAGTTTTACCATATAATCCAATATATATATATGTTACATACAAACATGTACAAGTGTCAAGGAACACTTTAAATATCAGTTAATATTATAATCCAATATATATATATGTTACATACAAACATGTACAAGTGTCAAGGAACACTTTAAATATCAGTTAATATTATAATCCAATATATATATATATGTTACATACAAACATGTACAAGTGTCAAGGAACACTTTAAATATCAGTTAATATTATAATCCAATATATATATATATGTTACATACAAACATGTACAAGTGTCAAGGAACACTTTAAATATCAGTTAATATTTCATTTTCTATTTAACAGTGAACAAGTTTTAAACACTTTTCAGACTTAATAGAAAACTTTTACATGATGTGTTGATCATAATAAAGATTTAAAATAATGAATATTCTTATAATTGAAAAGCTTCTCACTCTCCAAATGGTGAGCAAAAACTACACGTATTTACAATCACCTTAGCGACTTAAGTTCCATTTGTAAGACCAGTTCTTGCAACTGATTGAAAATGTAAACACAACATACCTTATAATATAAACTAATTGAAAAATTTTAAACGTACATTAAATATTTTTCTTTAATACATTCAATAAATTACAGTCCACTTTTTCTGCAAGTGGTGACGAAGTAAGTGTCCTCATCTCAATTCCATCCTCCTTATTCTATAAATAATTTACCAACAATACGATGTTTGCTGTTGACGAAGTAAGTGTCCTCATCTCAATTCCACCCTCCTTATGCTATAAATAATTTACCAACAATACGATGTTTGCAAGTGGTGACGAAATAAGTGTCCTCATCAAAATTCCATCCTCCTTATCCTATAAATAATTTACCAACAATACGATGTTTTTGCAAGTGACGAAGTAAGTGTCCTCATCAAAATTCCATCCTCCTTATCCTATAAATAATTTGCCAACAATACGATGTTTGCTGTTGACGAAGTAAGTGTCCTCATCTCAATTTCACCATCTTTATTCTATAAATAATTTGCCAACAATACGATGTTTGCAAGTGACGAAGTAAGTGTCCTCATCAAAATTCCATCCTCCTTATTCTATAAATAATTTGCCAACAATACGATGTTTGCAAGTGACGAAGTAAGTGTCCTCATCAAAATTCCATCCTCCTTATTCTATAAATAATTTGCCAACAATACGATGTTTGCAAGTGACGAAGTAAGTGTCCTCATCTCAATTCCACCATCTTTAATCTATAAAT